CCTTGTTCTCAGCCTCCACGTTTCCCCTCCTCGTTCCCCTCCAGGCAGCACCGCCGAGCAGCCAGGAGTCTTTCTTGGCTCCTGACCCAAGTACCTGTCCTTCCCCGGGTGATGGACAGCAGGCCTGGTCTCAGTTTTAAGGGAGGTCCCGCCTTCCCTGACCCGTTCACATAGATCTGAACATGCACCACGGTATGAAGAGATGCACCTCCTCCGAGGGAGGGGGCTGTGCGACGCTGGCCCAGTGCATGTGAGTGAGTGAGGGGCGGTGGAACGGAGACCCCGGCCCAGGCGGGAGGGGGATTGGCGCCCAGGCCCTGGCTTTGCAGCTGTGACTCTCACATGTGTCAGAGTTCGTGTGATACAGCGCAACCATGATTAACTGAGTTGCACGTGAAGCCCATCCGTAACATTGTTTTGGAGCTGAATAGAGCAACATTAGCAATTGCTATCTCACTGCTAAGCATTTAAAAATGTTGCTCCATTGAAAGAAAATTGTATTTCTGATTTATTTTGTTGCTATGGAAAAGAAATTATCCTACATTTTGAAAAAGAGAGGCACTTTAAAATTGAGACTATCTCTAAGTTGTGAATCCAACATTTTCCTTCCGCCAGAGAACATTGCCCATGAAAAGATGAGATCTGGGGGTTGTTGCGCCAGGAGGCAGCTGCTTAAAACCACAGTCCTAACAGCAAAGGAAACGTTAACAGGTAGGGGATTGAACTGGGGCTTTGATTTCCATGTTATGAAATAAAAGTCTGGCCCTGGCCGGTTTGGCTCCGTGGATAGAGCGTCGGCCTACGGACTGAAAGGTCCCAGGTTCGATTCCGGGTTGCGGGCACATCCCCAGTGGGAGGTGTGCAGGAGGCAGCTGATCGATGTTTCTCTCCATCGATGTTTCTGGCTCTCTAGCCTTCTCCCTTCCTCTCTGTAGAAAATCAATAAAATATATTTTAAAAATAAATAAATAAAAGTCTGCCACCATGTAAATCACACACTCATGTATTAGGCTATGTTTCTACAGTGCTTGAGAAATTTTCAGTATCCAGTGTGATTTCAAGTTTACGTTCTAAATACCCTAAGCCTTGATTAAGAAAGAGGGGTGGTTAGTGGGAAGGGGAAGTAGCTAAGAGTGTTAGTTATCTACTCGGAGGGTAACTAGGAAGATTTCATGCTATGCCTGAGTCCCCCCTGCCCCCATCACACCTGAAGGTGGGGGCCTACTCTGTCACTCCCTGCTGACATTCTCAGGAGGTCCTCAGAGAAAGTGAGAGAGGGTGGGAGAGGGAGAGAGAGATGGAAACATTTATGGGAGAGAAACATCAATCGGCTGCCTCCTGCACGCCCCCTACTGGGGATCAAGCCTGCAGCCGGGGCACTGCCCTGGAATTGAATGGTGACCTCTGGGTGCATGGGTGGACACTCAACCACTGAGACACACCAACAGGGCTGAAGAAATTGCTCTTTGACTGATGATTCAAAGTCCACTGTTTTCATTTTTACTTTCTTTTTTTTAAAAAAACAACACTTTATTGTTGCAAGTATTACATGTCCCCCTTTTTTTCTCCATTGACTCTCTCCAGACCACCCCCCCTCCACCCCAGACCCCCACCACCCCACTGTCTGTGTACATGGCATTTTTACTTTTTAATTTAAAATACTAATTTTCTTCCAAGTGCACTTTAATAAAATTATAAAACTCAAACTGCATTTTATTTATTTTTTAATTTATCTTTATTATTGTTGAAACTATTACAGGTGTCCCCTTTTAAAAAAACTGAACAATGTCTGAGCTAAAAAGTGTGAATGTTTATGGAGGGGATCTGGTTGTTATCTTTGCTGGAATATAACTGTGTTCTTCTGTTTGTATAGCAGCCATGTCTCAACCTCTCCCTTTTCTTGTCTCCATCTTCTTAGTGTTTCTAGGCTGAAACTCTAAGACAAAATCATGATAAACTTTGGAGAGCTGGGTGTAGCCGTTTAGGAACCAGTTCCTGCAAGAATTCCTACCTGGTTTGACCTTTGTAATAGAAAGCAGGGGCACTGAGGACCGCCTCGCAGGTCCTTACAGCTCAAAGGAAAAGCCCAAGACGGCAGTCACCTTCTCTCTGCTTTTGACCTAGTGAATGAACCAGTGCATGTCTTTTTTTTAAAAAAAAAAGGGTCCCAGGTTCGATTCTGGTCAAGGGCATGTACCTTGGTTGCGGGCACATCCCCAGTAGGGGATGTGCAGGAGGCAGCTGATCTATGTTTCTAACTCTCTGTCCTTCTCCCTTCCTCTCTGTAAAAAAATCAATAAAATGTATTTAAAAAATTTTTTTAAAAAAAGGTATCGCAAGCTGATTCAGAACGTCTAAGAGCTCATATTGGAATGTATGGGGTTAAATGTCTTCCAGGAGGCTCTGATCTTGGACTTGCATGATTTTATTGGTTATTTTCCCTCTGCGGTCACCCTGATAGCCCAAATAATAAAATTCGAATTTGGTCAGTAGGGGTCTATATGTAGATATCTGTAGTGTAATATACAGGGTGGGCAAAAGTAGGTTTACAGTCATGAGTACATGAAACAGAGGTATAATCTTTCTGACTTTAGGAATGACACAATTTTAAATTAAGTTTGTCTTAAACATGCAGGTTCTAATGAAGAAGAAATAACCTTCCATTAAAACATTTCCCTGCTACGTTTCTCTTCCTGGATATTCTAGCAGGAATGTGCTCTCTTCTGGACTGTGTACTTTTGTGTAATTGTTACCCTAATTCCCCAATTAGAATCTGAGCTTCAAGAAGACAGTCTCTAGGACGTCATAGCCCTATTGTGTCTTATACATCCGTAGTAGATACCCCTTTAAAAGACTGAAGAAATTACCCACTTGTTCTCCACCACCTTCCCATGATTCTTAACAAGAAGGAACATGTTAAAAACTCGAATGTAGGATGTACGTGAAAACTTGGCTGAGTAGCAGAGTCTGATCTCTCTCTCTGTCTCTCGGAGGTTGGGAAGAAAGGTTTCTTTTCAGTCCTGGAAAGATTTGACTTGCATTTGAAGAAGAATTTGCACGATTTCCTGAAGAAATGCCACCTTATGAACAGTCCAACTGGCATTGATCATTTGGATCTCCCGAGAAACGGCCAGGATCACAGGGAAGAGGGATGGTGCACAAAATCCGCTCCAAGTGCATACACAGGGTCAGACACTCCTTGTTGTTATTGCCCTTTTCTCATCCACTGCATCCACCAGACCCTGGATGAACTTCAGGCAGGCTCAACACCTTGGATGCCTCAGCTGTGTAGTGTAGTGTCTTCCGGAGACCTTGCATTAATGGGCAAGAGGCAGAGAGGTCCATGGATGGTCTACGAGAACCATCTTTTGGTCTCCAATCCATTCTCTCTATCAAAGCCAAAGAGTTCCTCCTAAATTAGAATCCAGTCATATGTGATTGTGGGAAACAAAAGTGCTAGAGGAATGAAACTACTCCGTGCTGTTACTCTAATTATTCGTATCATTATTGAAGTTACTTTCATACAAGAACCGCTCTGCCTTCCCTGGTTGAGGAGGTTACCACAGTGAACGGAAGGATATAGAAGTGTTAATTTGGTATGACTCACTCCCCCCTGGCCAACTCCTTAACTTTATCAGGGCCACACTTTATTTTTAGCTTTGGCCTTTTGCAGCACTTGACCTTTTGCCTGGATAGAGTAATATACTGGGGAGCTCAAACCCACAGCCTTCCCTGTTCCATGAGACATAAGGGATATGTGTGTCAGGTTATGTCTTCTTTAGAAGTCTGCAATCCAGAATGGTCTTTTAGGACAAAATAAAACTATATTCACACACACACACACACACACACACACACTTTGGTAGCATTGTCTTGCACATTTGGATTGTAATCACTTCTTTTATGAGGCATCTCTTTTGTCATCTGTTGTAAGAAATTAGTATAATCTTAACATTTATGAAAATATTTTTAAAATGTGGGTAAGGATCTTATACCAAAATCGCTCTCCCACTTGTTTTAGAATAACAAAAACTCAGAAACAACCTTCAACTATAGAGTAGTTAAATAAATCATGAACTAGCCATCCAATGAAATGCCATGAAGCCATGTTAAAAAACTGATTACAAGTGATTTTTAAAATAAGATGGGGTAATACTAATTATGGAATGTTAAATGAGGAAACTTAAGTCCCAAACTACAAATGTCACATGAAGTTGACTATGCCTTTGCTCATCTCACCTGGCTCACTCCAACAGCCACCTACATTGCTCCCTTAGCCAGGCGGGACCCCTCCAGTCGGTTCTCTAGTCTACACTGGAGCCAGAGCGGTCTTCCTCAATTAGAATCCAGTCTTGTCCATTCCACACTGAACGCTCTCTGATGTCTCTCTGTTGCCTTCAGGACATGTTCGGGCTCAGCATCATGGGACCCAGAGCCCTCTGAACCCTGCACCTCATCTCAGGGGGGCCGCTTCCCCATCTGAGCACCCTGCTCGCATTGCCTCCTCTTTAGCCTGTTCTTCCTGACTGCGGTGCTGTTGCCTTCTTTTTGCCTTGATATCTTCTCATCCTTCACATCTCGGATTAGCCCTATTTCCTCTGGAAAGCTTCCCTCGTTCCCTCCCTGGTCTGTTTGCCCCCCTCCCCCCCGCCCCTCTGTGCTTCCACTCCTCTCTGTATGCCCTCTACTGTGGAACTCCTTGCCCTTGACTGTCACTGCTGAGTTCCTTACCCAGGAGAGCTGGGTTCCTGTCTATCACACCCATTATTCTGTTCCCAGCAGAGGGTACCACAGTGTAGGTACCCACTAACTGTTGAAAGACAGTCAACATATTGGGTAGATAAGCATCAACTGGTTAATAGACCTTTTCTCTAAGTGACTGAATTTTGGATGGTTTTGAATTTCCTCTTTATTCTTATCCTAAAACAAAACTTTCATTGTGGTAAACACACACACACACATACTATTAAATTTGCCCACTTAATTCTAAGTGTACAGTTCAGTAGTGTTAAGTCTGTTCACATTGTTGTGCAACAGATCTCTTGAACTCTCTCGCCTTGTAATACTGAAACTCTATACCCACTAAGCGCTGATTCCTCCTCCTCTCTCCCACTAGACAGTACCCACCTTCTGCTGCCTGTTTTATGATTTTGACTGCTTTATACACTTCATATGAGAGGAATCATACTGTGTTTATCCTTTTGTGACTGACTTATTTTGCTAAGCACAATGTCCTCAAGGTTTATGTTAAAATGAATTTTTTAAAATTGATTTCAGAGAGAGGAAGGGAGAGGAAGAGAGAACATCAATGAGAGGGAAACATTGATCGGCTATCTCCTGCATGCCCCCTACTGGGGATCGAGCCTGCAACCCCAGCATGTGCCCTGACTGGGACTCAACAGTGACCTCCTGGTTCATGGGTCGATGCTCAACCACTGCGTCACACGGGCCAGGCTAAAATGAATTTTTTATATGAACTCTATTACTTCTATAACCAGAAAAGAAGCTTTATAGAATCATAGGAACTAGAAGTGCTTCAAGAATTTATCTGGACCAATTTTCCCTATCCTTAACTTTACTTTTTCTAGATGAGAACTTCAGAAATCAAAAAGTAATTAGTCTTAGGTTAAAGGTTAAATAATGGCAAAGTTGACCCAAGAAATAAAACCAAGTAATAGAGGAAAAGGTTTTCAGGTCTTTCACAAAATTTACAGCCCTCTCTATGTTTTTCGTGTGTGTGTGTGTGTGTGTGTGTGTGTGTGTGTGTGTTTGTTTTAATTTTCTGCTCAACATTAGCTGTTTTAAAATAATTTTGTTTTTCAGTATTTCATTTCACATTTGAAGTAAAACTAATCCATCTACTGGCTGCTTGCTTTGCTCAGAAGGCACAAAGCACTTCTCTTTAGGAATTGTGTTTCTTCAGTTTTGCGTGTACAATGCATTCCATAGGTGGTCAAGATTTCCCACTCTGGATCCAGGCAGGCTAAAAGGATTCTTCAAGTTTATGGGAGAATTTGATTCCTGACCCACAAGGTGGAGGCAAGTCCAAGAGATACTTTTGTTCAGCTGTTTGTTCTTATGTAGCATTCCCTCCTCCTGGTCTGAAAGAGAAAGAGCTCTTAAGTAATAGTTTATGAAATAATTGTGAAAAAAGACCCACTTGTTCTAAGTCCCCGAAACGGATTAATGTGTCCAATTAGCATGTAATATGAGTCCACCACATGCCTTGTTGTCATTGAGAGACACGTTTAAGACGTATTTCCTGAGTTGGGGAGGGTGGTAGAGAACCAGTGGGTGTTAGATTAAGGGTAAGGGCTCTTAGAAACTATGTAGTCCAATCCCCTCCTATTATATATGGAAAACTGAAGCCCAGAGCGGGGACTAGAGTCAAAGGCCTGGTCAGTACCGAGCTAGAGCTAGAGGTGCCTCCTTCTGGCCTCCGGCTGTATGTCCAGCTTCGTTTGAAGAGGGACGCAGAGAATCTCAGCTTGCTTTTTATTACTATCTTATTCTCTTTTCATAATTTACTTGTTAACATGGTTTTCAGGCTCAACCTAACATCTGCTCTGGTTTCCAGTCGCGAGAGGAAAACTGAAGATTTCTATCCCAAAGTGACTTAGAATAGCTCGATGTTGTGTTCCACCACCGAGGGGTTGTCTTCCCTCCAATGGACGGAGCCAGGACCGGCAGTGCCCATCCTCAGCGGAGACTGGGTGCGGTGGTACGTGCGCGGACCTGGGTTCGCGGGAAAGAATGACCAGCTCCTGCGCTGGGAGGGCTCGTTAGCTTGGTGCTTTCAGTTTTGTTTATGACGGGAAGTAGGAGTTCTTCCCTGAGTGCGAGGTGACAGTACATCTTGGCAGTCTTTCTAACGTAAACGCCACGTGTTATGGGTTAGCATCTGAGGGAGAAGAGACTCCCCCGTGATTTACTGTGATTCATCCATAGAGAACTCTAAAACACTGAAAATAACCCCAGGAGTGGTTGTTCAGTGGTTCACTGCTTTGTACTTTGTACTACTTTGCAACTTTATAAGTTTACTGGAGGCCCGGTGCATGAAATTCGTGCACCAGTAGGATCCCTAGGCCTGGTGGGTGATCAGGGCCGATCTGTGGGCCAACCCTGGGCCAACCCGGGGGCACCCGCCTCGG